ATGCAGAAGTCAGCAGAAAAGAGCAGCTTTTTTAAGATTGTTGCAGAGTGAGAATAGCTGTAGCTGATTAGCAGGAGAAGACCCCAATCCTTTCTGAAATCCTGGGATAGAAAACTAGAAAGTCTAAGGGACTTGTTTGGCACTCCAGCTAGAGGTATTTATAAGCAATCATTTAAAAACACAGCATAACCAAAGAACACTTTCTTCTTTTCCCCGCTCCCTTCCCCAAAAGGGATGAATGTGGTTTTGTTCCCTTTTTGTAAGCAACAGCTACTTCTTGAAATTCTAATTCTGTGAAGTGACAGGTTGAAGAAAGCAGTAGTGAAGGACATGGATGCTCGCAGAGCCTTGTATCTTCGTCTGCTTTTCGAACTGCTGTTCAGTGGAGGTTTTTGATAATAAGCAAACAGATCCATCATGTACTGCTGTTGCTTGCACATTTGGCATAACTAAAGAGGATCAGAGGTAGCCTGCATAAGGCTGCAGAGCAACGCTTACTGTGTTCCAGGGATAATGGAGTCAAGGTCTGTGACTGGGATTTTTTCAGATTGCATGGTCCTCTGACACTAATCTTCTCAGATACCCAAGTTTAAGAAATCAGAGTCAGCTTGGAAACACCACAAATTCCTGGTTCAAGTTTTTTTTCCTCCTATGTATCTTTGTAATGACTTCTGGGATGCAGAGAGGGTGAGGCTAACCAATTCTTTCTCAAGCAAGTTGATGAAGGGTTTGTTGGGTTGAGGTTTTACCAGATGAAACACTGCTTATTCCTTTCTATTCTCATGGTCAGCACTAGGCAAATGAAAGGCCTGCTTCTGATGGCAACTAAACAGCCGATGTAGCAAGGGTTGAGAATTTCAGTACAGGAAATGTAAACTGCTAAGTCCAGTTGGAAAAGTAGAGGCTATACTCCAGCAGATCCTGGGGAAGTCAGTCCAAACTAGGTACCTGCAACGACTCTTTGAGCTGAAGCTTGCAAGTGATGCAGATGGGAGGTTGCAGGGCAGCGAGGAGGCAAAGCGTGCTGGATAGCTGCCGCCGGCTGGCCGCCAGCCAGGCATCGGGCGTTTCGCGGCGCTGAGCTGGAGCTGTGCCAGGCCTGGAGTTCTGAATGGAGCTTAGAGCGTAGCTGCGATTCCCAAGTCTATGCTCAAGGGCTCTTGCTTCAGCGGCCAGGTGGTTAGCTGGACCAGAGCATGCAGATGAACCACTGCAATGAAACATCTACCCGGCTTTAGGCTGCTCAACACAGACTAACAGGCGGCTAGAGACTGCTAAAGGCAATTAATGCCTAATAAAAACATTCAGAGTGAACTTTTCGAAGTCTAAACTAAGAGTAAGATGGATGAAAACCTGGGAGACATCACAGTTCCCCCTCTGTACTAAGAGGAAATTCTTAAATGTGTCTATAATTGCAGGCGTGCAAGACTCCATTAGTGCCAGAACAGAAAGGAAAACAAATCATCATAAAGGCAACCATCAAAGAGCTCTGTCTTAAGTTAATAAGGATTGTGGAGCTGTGGATGACTGAGGAGAACGTTAGGGGCCCAGAACGGAGAGGCTGGTACACACTATACCCAAAACAGCTTGCAAGAAGTTTTATGGGTACCATATGGGAAGGACTAAAAGGAGAGAGTACTGCCAAACAGAAAGCTGGGAGGAGAAGGGGAGAAGCTATCCTATTCTTTAAACCGAACATAGGCAGACATGAACCAGAATCCCCCAGTGTTAAAGTGTTTGTCTTTTGAATCTAAAGTGTTTTGTTCCTTTTGATGCATCAGGGTGGGGGTTAGGATAAAAAAAAAAAGACAATACAGGATTTTTGGGGACCCGATATTAAAAGGAGCAGTAAGAAATAGGAGAATTGCATAAAGGAAAAACTGGAGCAAACTGATTAGCTCCAGATATCCTTAAGAAGGAGCAGTCATATTTAACGCAGACGGATGAAAACATGGGAGACATCACAGTTTCCCCGCTGTACTAAGAGGAAATTCTTAAATGTGTCTATAACCACTGGAAAAGTGCATGGATCCTTGCAGGTACAGAACCAAGCCTCTCGTAGCCTAAGAGGGGAAGCAGTCAGAGACTGTCGTTGGGCATCAGGGAAAGCTGGGCTCTTTCTGGCTTTATTTCTCAGCTCCTACAGCTAGATCTATTCCCTCAGGCAGTTTTACACAGGACTGTCAGGAAAGCCTGATTAGTCTGTAAGGGGCAAGGTGGGGAAGATGCTGTGCTGGTACTGGGTATCCTCCCGAGGTGCCTTTACGCCTGCGTTATTTTAGACCTTATGATATTGAAAAGCCAGAAGTTGTAATGTAAAGAGGAGCGGCATTACTAGTAAATGATCACGTTTCACTTCCTCAACATGAGATTTGTCTTCTGAGGAAAAAAAAGGGAAAATGTGATGTTTAAAAGCAGACAAATTACAGAATTATCTGTCTTAATGCTTCTGGTGCCAAGGTACAGATGCTGGAGCTGACAACTGCTGGAGCGTACTGCCGTATCAAAAGGGAACATATACTTGTGCTGAGTCTACACATCAGCAACGTATACAGCACCTGCTCTCGCAGCGACAGCAGCAGAGCAGAGCTGGCTTCTTGCGCTTTGCTGCTAAGAGAAAACCTGTGCTGCTGCCCGTTTAGTAATTCATGGCTCCAGGGAAACAAGCCGTAAGGGCAGAAGGTCACCTCTTGGAGAACACAGTTCAGCAGCGGGTGAAGACGAGCCGTAAATAGCAGGGTATGGCACTGGAAGACCTGTGTGGGCGTACGGCACGCTCCCCGTAACGCAGCCAAGAGGCGCTGAGCCACAGGTGGCGTACGCCCGCGGAAAGCGCTGCCAGCTGCCTTTCGTCACTTACGTCCTTAGGGAACCATGACTGCTGTGTTACTAGGCACTCGTCAGTGCTGTGCAAGAGTATCTTCCAGAAGCACAGGATGATTTGCCCAATTAACTCTAAAACAGCCCCACTCCCAACCCCACATCGCTCTAATATTTTAACTTCCAAAGCCATTACAAGACGAGCACGTGAGACGGTCACCAAGTTGCTTACCGCAGTCAACCTTATTAGAAGTGAGGAAGTTTCTAAGTTCCTCTTGATCTCTTAAATGGATCACAGATACTGATAATCCGGCATGAGCTGCAACACATCCAATGAAATTTTATATACAGGAAGTTTTTCTCCTGCATTAACCACATATAGAACCACATTTTTGTTTTCAGCTGATGTCATTTCCACAACTAGAAAGTTAAAACATTTAATATCTTGAAAGCTACACTGCTTACGTAGTTCTTCACCATCTTTCCAACAACAAACGGTAACTCTCTATCCCGTATGCCAAGTCTTTTATTTGGAAATGGAATGCATAAAACAATGACTTGAACAGGAAAGCCTCGCTCATTTAAAAGACTTAAAATGTCCTAATTTTATATTCTTTATGACTACTGTATGCGATATTATGAGGTCATTGTCATCAGAAATGCAGGACAGAATACCAATAAACTCACAGTATGTAAAGGTGCCAGTGATTCTTCAACAGCTACATACAAAAACGAGTGATGAAACATTAGAAATACCCGACTATGGTATCCTGGACTTTCAGAAGCTATTCTAGAAGAACCAATAACTTGATTGTTTTGAAATGGCACAAAAAGGGAATCTGCTATGTGCATTATTTATATCAGGAAAAAATTTCACACACTTACATTTAACTATTGTTATGAAACAGGAGTCCCAAATTAGTTTGCCTAACAGCAAAGACCTCCTTCCAAACAAATCCACATCAGGTACAAGATGACTCCTTTCCATTGCCAGTAGCATGCAAGGAGGACTTCAGTGTAAGACAGACTGTAGTTTGTGACAAAAGAAGTTAGGCACATTTCTGTATCTTTCTGGGACCAGAGTATTTATACATTCAGACTTCTGAAGTACCAGAACTGGGTAAAATCCACTTCATAAAGTAGTTACGGACTATAGGAGTAGATCTGTGTTCTTCAAGGTTATTAAATTAATATTTTCAGTCAATGACAAATTGAAGTTAAATAGCCTCGCACAAAGAGCATGCAATTTAATAAAGAAACTTAAGAATCATTAGGGTTAATTTGTAAACTTAGTGGCCACAGCAAAACTAGAATTGGAAACTAGAATTCTGCCTTTTGGATTTTTTTTAATTGCATTTTATTTGCTGCTGAAAGGAGTGCACTCTATATTTCACTTATTAAGAAATTTGCTTTTAAAAATCTAGGGCCATGGTTTCTAGATATAGCTGTGAAGTTTGAATTTTGGTATAATAATTCAACCTGATTATTTTTACTAATTTGAAAGAAACAGATCAAAATACCTCCCTTAATGAACTGTTCCCATGGAATATGGATTTTAAATTGTGTGAAAGGAAGACACCTGTTCTTCAGCAGGCTGTTTTTTTTTCTTCTGTATCCAGGTAGTTTGTTGAACCTGTATTGTATCTGAGCAAAATCATTCCACTTGAATGATGTGTGTTTCATCTTATAAATAGAAGGCGGTAGGGACGGAGAGGGGAAAGACCAAGGAATTATTCCCTTTGAAACATGAGAGAAATGGCCTAGTAGGTCACTGGGGTACCACATGATGAGGAATTTAAGATGTGTTAAGAGACTTTCCTAGCACATAAAATGATTTGCATTATATGAATACCTGCTATGCCAAGAAATCAGAAGGTTTGTCAACAACGCAGAAGGATTTATAAAAACTTGGATACATATTGAAAGAAATCGTGTTAGTTTTTTCACGTCTTCGTTCAGTTTAAGACAACTGAAACCCTCTGCCATGTTGTGGGCTAAGAACGTGGCAGAATTTGGATTTTAACAACCCCATGTCTCTCATCCTATATTTCCAACAAGTTTTTTTTTAAGCTATGAACTTAAATGCCCACATACAACTTACAACTTTAATCATGATTTCTAGAATTCCCATTATCTCCATTATCAAATGAGAATGACTTGCAATTAGCATATAATCCATTATACTACACATTTTATTTTTGACAGCCTCCAGTTTGGCAATAATGCTTGATTCTGCTGTAACACACTGGCTTGTTTTTTCACTTTTCATAGCCTAGTGGCACAGGCACCACAATTCCAGTTAGTGAGTTGTCTTAAAAATGTAGATTTGGATATTAATTACAACGGTCAGGACACTTAGGTTTTCACTGAAGAGAAGTTTAACTGCAGGAAGTTTATTTAATGACATCTGGGAGACTGCGGACCTTGTGAGGACAAAGAGGATCTTGAAATAGGAGGATATCAAAACTAGATTTTGGCAATATAGATGTATTGTCCATGTAGTTCTGTCATAAGCTTTAAAAATACTCTTATTAAATAAGTTTTTCCTTCCTTAAGACCAGATAATACATGAAGCCAGTAAGAGTCCAGGGGTCAGAATCTTCTTCAATTCTTAGTTATTCTCTATGAGCTTTTTTTTTTGGCTTTTCTTCGTAAGATTCTCCATACTCATTCACTCTGCTCTTATCCACAGGATAAAGCCTGGCAGAAAAAAACAAAGGATTAGTGACAATATTGTCTGCTACCTGGAGGAATTAAGCAGTTCTGCGCTGCTTAATTTTAAAAGTGAATTTCTTTCTCACCATATTCTCTATTCCCATTTGTGGCAAAAAATACGACAGTTTTAAAGATTAGCTACAGATACATCAGCTTCTTCACATTAAGACTTAACCAGCTGTCTCATAACAGAGCCTCTTAAGAGATGTATTAGCTCCCCTAAAGCCTGGCTGGATTATTTCTCAAGCAATCCAGGATACTTCTCAAACTTGAAACTAGTGTCCAGCCCCTATCAGAAGTTGTTGAGCTCTTGATTTCTAGAAAAATATCTCGGAAGGGGACCTATTTTACTGCACTAATGTGCGATTATATAAACCTAAAACCAAAGTTCCCATTTAGTATTAATGATTAGATGTACATATCCATATATTCTGGTATCATGTGAACTAGGCTTAAAATTTTTGTTTGCTCCACATCTAAATATTTATTCTTGGGAACAAGAATACACCTTCTGTAGCTTCACTTATGAACAATATTTCAATGATGACTGCATATAGCCTTCTTCCCCATCTGATTTTAGTTACTTAAAGAACCTGAAACTTGCCAGATACTCAACTTACCGGAGAACCTGATAACTTGTGTCTGGAAACTAGATAAAGAAGAAAGCAGAGCCCGGCAATCACTCATCAGAAAACATCCTTCACTAGTGCCTTGCAGAGCAGCTTGGAAAGCACGCCTCAGATACTGAGCATATGTAGGCATGCAGCCCCTCAGCAAGGGTTAAAAGCCCAGAACTCCTCAGAGGGTTTCTGAATACAAGCTTAAGAATTGCTCTCCTTCACCTTACTTCAAGTACTCATGTTTCAGGTTAATTTTTTTTGTAACTTGCAAATGTGAAACTATCTGCTGAAAAGAAGGACTGCTGTTTTGGAGAGGGAGAAGGGGTATTTGACAAAAATTCTGAGAGTGCTCCGAGAAGAGGAATTTCTTGACTACTCTCTTAGCGTGCTAAAAAGGATCCAGGAATAGTCAGTTATGGGAAAGTGCTTTTGCTCCTCTTATTTGTATTGACATCTCTTTTTCAGGATCCCCTGCTCAACGTTCCCTTCGTCAGGCATACAGACAACTACCATTATCCAGACCATGCTCTCTCTATATAAACACACTATATATATACACAGTACATATACTATGGTGTAAGTATAAAAATTCTGCTTGAAGTCTATCTCAAACTGTTTCATAGTTCTTTATAGCAATAAGACTGCAACCACCTACAGCGTTGTAAAAACTCTGATTAATATTAAAGAAAGGCATACCATCTTTGGTAAAGATAGACCAGGAACACGACATCATCTCTAAAGCACGCCAGCCTATGAGATGTTGGCATAGTGATGATAAAAGCAAATATATCATCAATAAAGGTGTTGAATGCCTACAAATAGAAGAAAGTATACTTCAGTTGGCTGTGAAGAAACTAAGTCATCTGTCGTACAAAGCTGCAGGAAACAGGCTTCCTAGAACTATATTTTTCAGTAGGAACAGAGACTATTTCCATATTTCTAACAATACTTAAGGGTTACGCTGAAAAACTAATTAATGCAAACTTTAAAGTGCTTTCTTTTAATGAAGACCATGCTGGTGTCTACTCCAGACCACATAATTATAGTTACAAGTAAAAAGGAAGTAGGACTACTTCAGGTAAGAGTGAGTATTGCTATGCAAGGGGAAAAACATGGATTCAACTTCAGTGAAATCTTTAAAAGAAACTGGCAAAAAACTTTTATTCATTCATTACTCAAATGATTTAAGATTTACAAAATGTCAGTTCACTTTCATTTTCTGTGGAAATTTGTGAAAAACTTGTTAATTTACTGCTCTTAAGAACATTAACTCGACAGCCTTGGAGAGATTTTGAAATATTTTCAGTGCTCTCCTGAAAGTAATCATCCAACCCTTATCCAAGACATAATTTTCTACACCATTTCCACTCAACTAGGCATACTATAGGTTCTGTTTCTGAAGCAATAATGAAATATTTTCACACTACTTCTTCCTGAGTAAGAAAGTTTAAATTCCCAAACATCTGCTGGGAAAGCAACGCAAACAGGCTTGGAGCATGCAAAGACAACAATATTTTGTCAGAAAAGGTAAAAGAAAGTAAACAGAAGGGCAACTCCTCTGGATCTGGCTCTAGCCTACAGGGAGGACTAGAAAGCAACTTTTACAGTGCACCAGCTCTAGTACTCATCACAGGGTGCAATAAACTGTTTCAACTTGTTAAAAACAGCAGGAAACAAATCCAGCAAAGAATATTCACTCTGTTGGGTTAACGAACTGAGTCAGTAACATGGCTTCTCCTTTCAATATCAGCAAGCTGTATATGAATCCATACCATAAGAAGGGGGAAAATAATGTATTCGCTAAGCGGAGAAGGACTCACTCTTCAAAATGAACCAATGTTTATATGATGAAACAAAGCATCAGCAGAAGATGATGGGTGTTGGGCAGGAGAGAGCTCTGAATAGTTACAACAGGAAATCTCTTTCTGGCAAGTCAAAACAAACGTATCAATCCACAGGGATCAAAGGATATGGATGGCACTTCTCAAGCCTGTGCAAAGAAGGTTTGTCATGCAACGAAAAAAACTTGGCAAGTTGGAAAAGGCGGCCTTTCCAAGTCAACACCCAAGTGAGTGATCCTACAACGATGAAAGGAAGAAAAAGCTAAATGCTCCATCCTTCAGGCACTTAGGCAGTCCTCATAAACCACTGAAATTGAATGCATCAAGGCAGCCCATCTAACAGTATTTAGTCTAGCTAGTTTTCTTTTGAGATTACCTCATTTGAAGGTAACTCCTCATAAAAGCATAAAGAGCATAAACGTAAAGACTACAGACACTGGAACGTTAGACTGATCTTCACGTTTGCCAAGGTCTTCCAAAACAGGAGAGAGTTCAAATTAAGGAAAAAACCAAAGCTCTCTAAAACAACAATGGCAGATGAGGCCTCAGACTATTCTTTCCACTCTTCAAAGTGCAGAAGAGAGCAAGCAACTTTAAATATCCACTAGGAAAAAGTAAATCACCCCCTCCAAAGACCAGTAAGTTAAACATAATTGAAATCATATACTTCTTTCTACATACACACAAGCCTTCGTTGTGGGTAGCCTCTGGCATCTTAACAGGAACCATAAATTCTCTGTAAGAAAAGGCTATTCACCCAGAGTATTCTACTGCTTTAAAGGTTACTGGCTTGAATACTGTCCCTTTGTTGTCTATTTAACTGCTGATGTCTCTGCTCAGTTGTTGTATTTTGTTGCGGAATTAAAATTGTGAAATTACTTCGCTAATATACCTTTTACTCCCCTCTATTAAGAAACATGCTGATTTGCCTAGTATATGTCTGAAACACTTGATGTTTATTTTTATTTTTTTGACTGTATTTCCATATCGAACACTGTTTCGTTGCTATTCTGCTATCAGCTACATTTCAATCTGTTTTCCTAGATGCCCCATGATTCCTTAAAAATATTAAGGCAGCAGAAATTCGGGCTATTGCTGCAGGCTCACAGAAATGGAAAAGCTATGAAAGGCACTTCAAATTTTAAGATTTTAGTTCTTTTGTCCCAGATCATCTGTTCAGAATTGGACACCATGTCTTGAGCAGTTTTTAACAGTTTCTTTTAAAGTACTGATGTTCTGGAGAATTGTAATACATCGGCACAAAGGAAGAATACATGAAAGCATTTATGAGCGGAAGCAGAAGAAAACATTAGTTTATATGCAGGACAAATATTTGCACCACCCAAGACAGCTGACAGTAGAAAAAAACAATATTATCATCAAAACTAGGATGCAGGTATTCTCGTTATATGGAAGTCATTATGAAACACGGAAATCAATGTTCCTATTTTTTTTTTAAGACGTTTGCAAACAAACGTGGTTTTACTGTCAGTTTAGTTCTTAAAACAAACAAACAAAGCACTATCAGCCTTAAGCTACATAATACTAAGCTGTTTCCTCACAGAAAATTATTTCCAAAAGGACTGCATGAATCTTTAAATTAGAGCTTTACTTACTTTGTACGTGAAAGCCTTCCACGGTAAATGTGCAACAGATTTCATCTAGGATTAAAAATATCAATTTATAATAAATTTTGGAAGAAGAAACTAAAAAAGTAGTCTTTTATCACTTTTCAATCTTACCTTGTAATTTACAAACAGCTGGGGCAGCATAAACAGGAATCCAAAGGCATACACTCCTGAAGATAAAAGATGGAAAACTTACAGACAAATGCACAGTAGAAGTACATCACACAACTATACTTTCACAATTAGAGATTTACACTCATTTTCCTAAAAGAGAGAAGATGTATCAACCCTTTTGTTTCACTTTGGGTTGATTCTTCTCCCTTTCTCAATCACTCTGATAATTTTGGAACCTACAGCCAAGTTATTGCTCTATTTTACACTGATCCAGCTGATAGCAGTTAATTTTCTACTTTTGAGTCTTGGCCTCCATTTGAAGAAATATGAATAGGAAAAAAACCATAAGAAGGGACTCACCATTGACAAAGCTGTTAATCAACCAGGAGTACCAGCTACAAACAAAGACGACAGCCCAGTTATTTTTTCACCTCAGCCAAAAATATGTACCTGTACCATCCTCTACATGACTGTATGCTGACTAGTCCAAGAAATGGCTATGTTGTGAATTACTTTACACGAGAACTAAACACCTCGCATCTTCCTTTGATTAGGAAGGGCTCCAGAGAAGATGCTAGCAGTTTAAGCAAAGGATGTTTATCAGTGCATCCGACAAGTTTGGAGAGCTTTATCAACTGCTTTTATACTTTTTTAGAACATTCTAAGACTTCTGCACCCAAAATGACATCAGATAATACTGCGCACTGAACCTTGACTGTATTAAGGCTCGCAAAGTTAACACTGTATTCTAAATAGTAAAGAGACACTTAATATGGCACTGTAAGGACTTATCAAATTTCAAACAACAAATACCATTCAGTGCAAACCACTATAGTAGCCACTTAAAAAAAAAAAAAAAAGAAAAGGTAAATACAAGGAATCTACATTTTTCACTCCTTACATCTAAAACCCCTTCCAGATGTTCAATGGAGCACAATCTTAGCAACATAACAGTAGTGTTACAGATAGTGGTCAAATTCCATCCTTCTGCTTGTGACAGTAAGAACAGCTAGTAATTGTGATGCTTGGGTTACATCATTTATAATTAAACTTGCAAGGCTGTGTTAGTGACTTGTTAATAGCAACATTACAGCTGCACCAGCATATCACTAATCCACAAGCATCTAAAAAATGCATCAGAAAATGCCTGCAAGATTAAAGGATAATCCACTGTTAAGATTACTTGTTCCATCACATTTCCTTAGAAATAGATTTAACAATGATAAAAATTCTGTATCAATTGTTTTCACTTTCTTAAGCTACAGCTCACAGAACACCTGGCATATAATATTTTCCAGTACTGAATGAATTTAAGAATTTTGTGAGAAAAGCAGAATTTTTGAATGCTGCATATTTGTTAGCTCCTTACTAAGACAAGAACCTTTTGAAAAAATTATTTTTCTAATAGCCCAGAAATTGCCCCAGTTTCTAGTACAAGTGCTACAGCCCACATATGCAGCAACAGTAGCTCTTTCTGATGTTATTTTAAGCTACCGCCTGCTCTCCCTCCCATCCCTTTGGGGCCTAAGGGCTATTAAAAAATATGTCTACATGACCATCACCACGCTTGCGTTTGCAGATTTTTTCTACAACACAGTCTCATGGCTGCATACTTGCTTGCACCTCTCCAACACAAAATGAACTAGCTGTATTATTTTGAGTGAAAGTGGACAGGAGTTTCACCTTTTCATGAAATATTGAGTCTTCAGCTCTTGCTGAAGTATCAATACGTTGCTGTAAGCCCACGGCTCTAAAGGAATACAGAGTCCTTTCTTAAAAATGCTTTTACTTGCTTGCCATCCTAGCTATCATATTTAGTAACAGAGGAATCTCTTGGTCAGAGCAAATAATTTTGGGACAGTTTTTGCTGCTTTCTGTTATTGGACAGGTTTCACCACTGAGTTCCTCTCATCTCTCCTGTCACCTCATCAGTCCTCTGAACATCAGTGGCAGATTTCTTCCTTCTCTTCTGATTCACAGCTTACTCATGTATGTAAGCTATTGAATTCTATACTACAGTAATAGCGGGTTACTTGCTAAATACAACAGCCTGTAGCTTACAGGACATTAAAAAACGAGCTAGACTTTTCAGCTTTCTATCATATAGAACAAGGAAGTCTCCAGTTCCTAGCTTATGAATCAAGCAAAATAAAATAACAGATTTCCATAACCCATCATCTCCAATTTACTAATAAGGGAAAAATAGGGAATGCTTCAATTCTGTGTAAGATCATTTATAGATTTACAGTACCTTTTGTATTTGACATTCAGCAAGGAGTAACCTGCACCTCCAATACACAGTGGATAGAGCAAATATGACAAGTATTTCATAGCCTAACAGACAATGAAAATAGTTTGTTAGCTTACATTTTATATACAGCAGATTTGTCATGGCATTAACCAGAAGACAGCCACAATTTTTTTTTTCCTGAAAATCTTTTCCTATTTCCAAATGTCTACTATGATTTCCAATATGCTTCCAGTTCTAGAGAAGGTGGTAAAAATTCCAGTGCTCAGTTCAGACCACCAAGGACCTTAGAGCATAAGCAACAAGAGGCAGCATGAAGATCAGAGTCTAAGAGTAGCTCTCTGCTTAACTGCCTGACTTCGTCAACTCCTTTCAGAAATCAGGAAGCACATGAACATTCCTCCAGTATAAATAACAAGTACAAATACAAATTTTCAAAGTTGTGAATGAAGACCCTTTAAGATATTTCTCTTCAGATAAATCACTTGCAATTCTGCTTCTCAGAGAAATGTTTCAACCAGATTCAGCTAACAAACAACTCCTTCACTGTTTCTTTTCATAAATTATTAGAATGAATCTTCACTATCTGATCATCCACATAATCATGATCCACTTGACAACTATGAGACAATGGAAAATGCACTTGTAGCAATAAAGAGTGAAACAAGTCAATCAGCAGGCCACATAGATAGACTTTATAGATCAGAGTCACAGGATTCCCTCCTACCTGGGTATCATACTCCTCAGTTTTCTTTTCAGAGTCATTGTATGTACCAAACTGCAATACATATAAAATGTATAATCAAGTCAGAACTGGGGTAAAAAGCACTTGCTATTCAACTCCCTAAACAGAGATTTAAACTGCAAACTAAACTGCTTAGACATTAAGCTAGGTAACAGTTCCAAGTTCTTATAAGTTTCTATACAAGAGTCATATAAATGCCCTGTGCAGCCTGCCAAATACAGGGTAGGTAAAAAGTTTAATTTTTCCCTTCATATTTTATGCCAAACATCCAGGACTTCTTTGCTTAGGAAAATGCTGTTGAGACAGCAGAGTTCACAAAGCAAAAGTAAAGTCAAGTGACTAAGAATCTGGCAGATACAGAAAGCCATTATTAAAACCCATAACCATCTTCGTGCATGAAGAGGTCAGTTATAGATTATCTCCACATCTCCAGAAATTGTGACTGCTTAAACACAGTTCCATGAATACTGACAAAGGAACAACGAGAGCTATGAGCCACCCAAGACACATAGACTTCAAGCAGCACAAAACCCCAGTACTTCTTGTGAAGTAAACACTGAAGATTAGACAACTGTTTCTCGTATCAACAAGGGAAACTTTCAATGTAGATTGTACTTTAAAGTGTTAATTTGAATCCCAGCTGCCTCTGCATGTCCTGCAAACGGTCTCAAGACTTAAATTTTTACCCAGAGGATTTATCAAAGACCGTCCTGTCCCCAGAACACATCACGTCTTCTACTAGTTCCACAATGGGGAAGTTATACCTACAGCTTCATGAAAAATTCAGTTTCTCACTTCAAATCATGATGCCAGTTAAGAATGCCTTTCCAACACAGTGGCAGGAGCACAGTTCCACCTGTTAAGACTTAGCAGGACTGACAGAGGAGCTCTCAAGTTTCTCACACCATAAATACAGACAAATAGCTTTTTCTTCTACAGAATTCATCAAAGTTGTTAATAAATTCGAAAATGTTCATCCAGCTTTTGGATTAAGTCATCCATAAAGAGAAGATGTACATCGGAAACTTGTATAGTTTTTTTATAATCTCCATTTCACTGAAAGCTAAGTTGCACAGTAACCTGGAAACAGATGGAAAGCTCAAGAGTGTAATCATTAACAGCCCAATGTCTACTATACCTGAATTTTGGGTCTCAAGCCTTGCCACTTGATTGTCATTTTCAAAGCTTTCTTCACTTTCCAGAGCTGTGATTAGCAAAAACAAAATGTGTACATAAAGAATTATCCAAAGGAATGTCTTATGCAGGATTCAGATACTCAGAATCAAGACCCCAGAATATCTGTTTTAAGCACCCACTGCATAAAGCAGCAACAGCATGATTGCAGCACACTGCCTGTGCCTCTATACAAGTCAAATGCTGTGCCACCAGACAAGTACAACACTGGGAGCATGCACTATGGAGTCTTCATATCAGATGATGTACTTTAAGTGAAACAACATAGTCCTTCCAGGATATCTGGATTGCAGCGCTTAGGTGGGGGTTAGCAGCTCTCAGCACCAGCATACACCCCAGGCCAAGCATTTAGAGAATTCTCCAGTAACCACCTGCCAAGCAAGTTTTTACATGCCTTCAAGGTCAGCTGGGATCTGCAAGATGAAGGTGCCTCAGAACTCCTAACAGGAATTAAGTGGACACTGACATGGTGATCTCATTTCAGTAGTGGGCTACAAGCACAAGTCAGTGAATCCACTGAATTGTCCGGCTACTTACTGTACAGCTGCCACGGGCTGACCCTAATGTAACCAAAGGTTTCAGTGCACCTGAAAATTTACTCAGTGTACCCACCCTGCTATGCAGATTCAACAACTTAGGCAATGCATTAAGCTCACCAGCAGAGCTATGCTCCACGAAGCTTTCTGTAGACAAGGTTTGTTTGTTTAACTTCAGATACACCAATATTCTCTTCTCACCCATCACATCTTCCGAACAACAAAGTGCAATACAGTAAAGACAATCCTGTACCATTATCTTTGATGCAAGTGAGAAAATTACTTATTACAGAAGCAATGTCAGTATTAGTACTGCATGAGAAACAGGCGTTAAGAACGAGTTGTGAAAAAGCTCTTCCCAACAGACAAATTCCTTTGAGATGTATAGTCCTTATGTTCATTCTCACCTTGAGACAACCATGTTATCTCACCATCAGCTGACAGGAGAGACATTACTTCAACAGAATCTACAGAACATTTCCCTTCCATTTAAGTGTGTCCCCCACCAGTCTTCCTACATAATCCTTTCAACCGTTCCCCCAGCCTGCAGTCCAAAAGCAACATACTGGAAAATAAGGCACGTGAGAAAGACAATAGGAGCCAAACAGTCATAAGGACTACAGATCTCAGAGATGTATTTAACAGATCTTTGGGCAGCTCCAAGAAGAATCTCAAACAGGCACAACGACCAAATGAGATCTGGATCTGCCTGTGCTTAGGTAGTGGCAACCGAGAAATCCATCTTCATTATAAAAGAGAAATGCAAATTCTTAACAGTTTTAATTGACCTTAAATCCTGTAGCATAGCTGAACATTCCTGTTACCCTAGCATACATGCCTGATCTGGTTTCTACTAAAACTTCTTTTAAAAAAAAAAAGTGATTTAGACACCAGGGCTATTTCTTCTTCCCCACTAGAAACAAACAAAAAAAAGCATAATTTTTCTTGACCCGATCCATTTTTAAATCATTTGACACTTTTGAATTTCTGAAGTCTTTAGATTCAAGGATTCTTTAAAATTTAGTTATTTAGATATAGGATCGAAAGAAAAGATATTCTACAAAAGGAGCAGCATATTTATAAGCATCTATATTTATCCCTGAAACTGTTAAAATTTCAGACAGCTAAAGAAAGTTTGAAATATAAGACTAAATTTCTATTTATAGGAACAAAACCACTGCCAAATCTGATACAGAAAACTTAACACACAGAAATACATCAGACTTAAAAATCTCAACTTACTGAAAAATAATGTTACAGTCAATGAAACGGTACTATTTAGGACACTACTGTTCATAGTTTTTGCAAGACCTTAATCTGTCTTATACAATAAGCTGAAATTTACGGATCGCTTTGTGACTTTGCATTCAACAATTTAATCACTAACTAAAAATTCGGAACTGTTTTGTTTCCACGGGGATTATCTGCAACTGTAACAGATGTGTAGTCAAAAATTTCACATGAGAGACCTGAACTTATTTTTAAAGACTGAGAAGTAATTAGATCTGCAAGCAATGCTAGGTAGAGAGATCTCCCCTTCCCTATACTGCTGACTTTGTGCTTTACTACACATAAAGCAAGCTTCTAAGCAGTACCTGCAACCCACTGACTGGACGTGATCTGCTGGAATAATGAACGCAGCCAGCAGTCTCCTCCTTCCCCAAGCACCTCAGTCATGGCCAGGGAGAAAGCTGCAGACCTGTGGCACTGCCTGGTGGCACACAGCTTGCTCTTTGACAGATGTTTCCGTGAAGGCTTGTTGACATGGTTATACATGCCTGGTCAGGAGTGATGCCTATCACATCGTGTGATAGGAAGGAACCTCAGCATAGCTCTATGTTTGGCTTCCACAATACCAGCTGGCCCATCCCAGAAAAACCTGATAGTTCCAGTTTAGTTATTTGATAAAGGGACACGGTCTCTACCGCTGAAAGCCAGTTAAACAATGATGCTAAGACAGCATACTACAACAGCAGTATTTTTCCAGTAACTAGTACAGCATTCTTTTTCTGTTGGTGCAAATACTGGTATTTGGTTCTAGAGCTTTAAGAACTCACCTCAATCACTGCACCAATGCCTGCTGGGATCAGTACCAATAAACTTGTTTGTTCATCCAAAAGGAAAAGAAATATTACCACAGTACTAAAGCACCGCCAAAGCACTAGATGGAAAAAAACAAAAATGAAAGGCTTATTAATATTTAAATGAACAGCTGAGATGACAGAAGACTGTTGGCCTATTTACTGTAATTCTGCCTTACGCAGTTTAAGCAAGAACTTCTCCTATATACACCTTGATATATAAAGTAGTCCTAGAAACAGCCAGTGATCTGTATACCTCCAGGCAAATAAGGAGCAAAAACACTTTATGAAATCCTTATCCAAAAAGATTAAAGGAAATCAGAATATTTAAGGAAGACTTCTGTACTGCAGCAATTCAGCAAGGTATCAGTACTATTATGAACTACATTCATGATTCTTGTCTCCAGGAAGCTGAAAGGCTGTGAGGTAATGTAATGACAGTCTTTGAAACTCATGCAACTAATTTCACGTTTGTAAATGTTAAGAATTATATTTTAGGGTGATTTTTCAGGTTTTGCAAAACCTTGGATGCTTATAAGTGTCTAACAACTAATTCTCAGATTCGAATATCCATCCCCCTAAGCAGGAACAGAAAGAGAGAAGAGCTACAACACACTCAGACATCAGCAATTACACTCTACCATTCCAGAGCCTGTCCTTCTCCCTCAGGGCAAGAGGGAGATACAGGCAGAAAGGTGACTAAGTCTTGCTAAAGAGAGGATGGAACCATTAATTACTGCAGACTGAAGACTGATACTTTGATAGTAAGGTTAAAAACCCCTTTGTCACTCAGTCTTTCCAATTTGACTTTTTAAACTGGCAATTAACACTCAAGTCTGAAATTTCATGGACCACTTTGAATTTTTACTAACTTTTTGGCATACATATGCCAACAGCAGTATAAATGCCTTACAAAAACAAAGGCACTCCGGTAAAGATGATAAGCAGATTTTCCACATGAGAAAAACATGTTGCTGTTCATCGTAATTTAGAATGCCTAATTTTCTTCCTGGTATTGATACTCCTCACATGTTCTAATCAATCTGTATATATGATAGAATTAGGGATAGTCTCAGAGGTCAAGTGACTCCAGGTTTATAATCAGAATGGAAAAATCTATTCGAAAAACAGGCACTAAGAATTAGCACAACAAACAAGGCTGGGGAGTGGTGTGTTAAACCTCAAGCGTCCAGGGCTGGCTATTACCTTCACCTGTCCCTAGGAAGGCTTGGCAGGACGTCAAACCACTGTGCTTCTCTCGTCTTTCCAACATCCAAGTCAACTCAACCCTCCCATGCTCTTACCCCCTGTGCCCGGAGCTTCTACTGCTCCTGTTCACACCAAAGCCCAAATCAAACAACAGCGTTACACTGCAGCATTTTCCCTCCCAAATACCTACAAGGAACACATGGGACTCACAGGACAGCATTACCCATGACAGCACATTGTCTCCACCCACGGGATTTTTTCTGATCCTCATTCTTTGTATTTTTCTGTTCCTTCAGCAAAGGAAATCTGGTGGCTGACTTAGTATTAAACTTATTCTCAACTGTAAGACAGTCAAACCTCAGAAGCGACACAAGTGCTTAAAAGTGATACTTGAGCACAATCCTAACAGATGTTAGCCATCTTCTTTTCATACACAAACACAGCTCATTTTGCCATCTTGGTGAATCTACAAAGTTTCAACTTAGAGTAAGCCTAAAACCACACAGTATATATTAGATAGCACACACACAACACACTGCATTCTGGCCCATACCTGCTTTTGTAGACATCCCAATCATGCTCCTCTTTTTCTTCCAAAAACTGATGTCATTTTTGAATGCAAGGAAATCAAAGAGAAGCTGCAAATAGCAAGAAACACACTCATTTGTTCAAACACGCACTAGTCAAAGACTACCAGCTGAACTGTCAAAAATGCACTTAAGATGTAATTGCAAGAAAAAGCTGTTTTAGAAGCCTCAGAAATAAAAATTAAATACCACAAAAAGCTAAAAAGAAAAACTGTTTGAGAAGCCCAAGGCCCAAAAGCAGTGCAAAATGACAGGAGGAATTCCAGGTACTGCTATTACGACAATGCTGCATCCGGTAAAGAAAGTTAGTGACCTAATACAGGGTAACACATGATAGAGGATGAAGAACTGAAGACCCTGAGGAATTGCTCACCTCCTTGGCAGACCAGGGAAAGGCACACTAAATTAGATTCAAAGTGCTTTGTATTGGATCGATAGTCAATTTAGGCTTGGATAGTACCAAAGTTTTTTAAAATTTCTAAAATACAGCAAGTCATTTTCTCCTATTTCATCAGCAAAAAGTTGATCTGAACCTCAAGGACATTTTAGCATTAAATGTATTTGTACTGAGTATTTTTTCCAGAATTTTCAGTATTTTTGTTCAGAATAGAATAAAATAGAATAGTTCAGTTGGAAGAGACCTACAACGATCATCTAGTCCAACTGCCTGACCAATTCAGGGCTGACCAAAAGTTAAAGCACGTTGTTAAGGGCATTGTCCAAATGGCTCTTAAACACTGACAGGCTTGGGGCATCGACCACCTCTCTAGGAAGCCTGCTCCACTCTTTGACCACCCTCTTGGTAAAGAAATGCTTCCTAATGTCCAGTCTGAACCGCCCCTGGTGCAGCTTCGAACCATTCCCACGCGTCCTGTTACTGGATCCCAGGGAGAAGAGATCAGCACCTCCCTCTCCACGTCCCCTCCTCAGGAAGCTGTAGAGAGCCGTGAGGTCGTCCCTCAGCCTCCTTTTCTGCAAACCAGACAAACCCAAAGCCCTCAGCTGCTCCTCATAGGGCATTCCTTCCAGCCTTGTCACCAGCTCTGTTGCCCTCCTCTGGATGCATTCAAGGACCTTCACATCCTTCTTGAATTGTGGGGCCCAGAACTGCACACAGTACTCAAGGTGAGATGCACCAACACTGAATGCAGCGGGATAATCACCTCTTTTTACTGACTGGCTATGCTGTGCTTCATGCACCCCAGAATGCAGTTTGCCCTTTCGGCTGCCAGAATATTTTTCAGTATTTCCTTTAAGCGTTCACTCTCTTAAAAAAATGCAGCATGGATTCAAGAAATTCTTGGGTCAGAGAATTTTAGTGAAAAGGTGTATTTTTTTAATTTGGGCAAATGATACACAAAAGAAAAAAATATCAGAAGAGCTAGTCCCAGCCTACAGATATCTTACAACCTAATAAACAGAATGGAAAAAATTAAATTAAAATGGCTGGGAAGTCTAAGGGTTTCCAACCAGATTAATTTAATCTAATGTAAGTATAAAGAAACATAACATGCCCAGCAAGTTGTTATCTATCCCAGACTACGGGAACTGTACTGAGTGTAATTGTAGATGACAAAAATGTTCAAAGTAGAACAACAAAGTCTAAAAGCTGTTCATTAAAACAAAGATTCATATTTAAACTAAGACACACACAATGCTGACAGAGAGACACAACAACAACCATGCCTAGAGCCACAAGCTCTGCACTTCACAGTGACAATTTTTTGAAGGAATCTAGATCAGCTGATCTAAATTTCTCCAGGGGTTAGAAGTCAGAGACTCAATCCCTACTGTTGGTGCCCGAGCTATGCCACTGCTGCAGTAAACTTTGTGATAACTCAGCTTAGCAGAAAATGTGAACCAATGTGGACAGGTATATTAATTCTGGGGGCTTTGGTCCAGCAAAAAACCATGACGATAATGAAGTTAAATGCTTTATATTTCAGTCAAGCCTGTTTAGTTTATACCTAGTTATCTCATATTTCCATCTTCTTTGAGATTTTTTACATTAATTTGGTATTGGAAATACAACTGACTTGTACCAGAAACCTCTTCTATTGTTCTACCGAAATTACTATTTCCAAAAACAGTTGTCAATAAATGAAACAGCTGAAGTTCAACCCACCCCTTTTTTTTTATTTCATATGCTGTAATTCCTAAAAAACAAAGTTTCTCCACTTACATGAAATGCTGCTACGAAGAATGTCAAAGCCAGAAAGTACAGGTTAGTGTCAACAAAAATTCCTTTTACTTCATCTGCATCCTTTTCTGAAAACCCTAAGAGAAAGAACACGTAATTATGCAAGAAGTACTAGACAGTTAATTGCTGTTACACTAGAGTCCAGTATGAAAGGAATCTTATTTCACCTGCACATGCTTTATTAAGCAATCATAAATCCAAATCAAGATGTCAGCTTTATTGGTAAAATCCAAGCCTACCTATATTTTGGCTAGTTATCTGGCTTGCCTTAAACAAAGCCCATCAGTTACAAGCAGACTGATGTGCCTTTAACGTGTTTTGTAACTACAACCCAAGCTGAACACCAGACACACAAATGGTGAGGCACAGGAAGTCGTTCTGGCCTGAGTGGGAAGAAAAAGGATTATTCAACTTGGCCTCTGAGCTTTTACTTGATATGTAAGAAAAGTGAGCTTCACATTAAAAACCAAAAAATGAGAAAAGGACTACACTGTGGAGGACAACAAAGGTCAGTGGGAAACATGGCCGTATTTTCCAGGCAGAGGAGGTACTCCTAGGATGACAGGTCTTGATATATGTGTCCATCACAAGACAGCAAAAACATGGAACATGAAAATTTCAATTATGCCATTCTGAGAAGGCTCATGAAAATTTATAGAGAAATGATGGTGGTCAAATGCCCCACACAAACTCTGAGTAAGCCGTTACTTGATTCTTTCAAGACAGTTATTTTAAGCAGACATACTTGTAGCTTTGATGTACATTAGCCTGAGCTAAGGAGAAGCAGCTGGATTCTACTTAGGGTGACCTTATTCCTTACCCGCCCTCCCTTCCTCGACAAAACATGAGGAAAGCTTAGGCTGCAAAATAAATGGAGAAAGTCTAGACTCTCAGTTAAGTTACACTGTATACAGGTACTGTGTCTTACAATACTACACTCTGAAACCAGTGCTGAACCAGAACAGACTTTTTTTTTCCCAGAGGAATCAATGCCTTAAATGTTAAGTTGTCCATCATAAAATATTAATTCCAAGATGACAATGAATAACAAAACCCTCTTCCTCTTACTGACTAAATGTTGGTGAACAAAGAACAACACTGAGTAGTATGGAAGCAGCATTACCCCTGCATGTGTCTCTTGGGAAACTAGTAGAATACTGCAAATATCTGCATTAAAAAAAAAAAAAAAAAAAAAAAAAAAGATAAACTGGGAAGGATTTGAGAATCATTAAAATAATATAACACAGAAGCTTTTAGGATCTCTTGGCCTGAAAAAAAGTTCAAATTGCTGTCTGAAGAGCTTAAAAAGAGAGGATCAGAAAAAATCCTACATTCATATACATCAACACCAGTTCAGTTACGATGTAGTTCCTTACTCTAGCATAAAGAAGACAACTACAGTCTAGTGAGAGAAAACTAAGTCAGCAAAGGTAACCCTGAAAATAAGATGTAGATTTTTAAGAGTGGTGATTAGACTCACAAAGGTGTGCATCAGCAGAACAAACATTTAAAGACTGTAAAAGCTTGGCTATACCATCACCAACACAGAGCATATGAACTTCAGAGTGAAAGTGCACACTTACTCTATGACATTTAAGCGAAACACAGAATTTAGTAGTTTTCAAGCATGTAAAGCCTCCAGTTTATCTGAACTACCTTATAAATTTGTAACTGAGCCAAAGTGAGAGGCAAGCCAGTTCTGAAGTGTCAGAAGCAGTATGATCAGAACCCAGATTCCTTAATCATGCTCAGCTTGACCCCAAAGACTTTGCTGTGCCTGCCTGTATTTCACTGTAGGTATATGGCTACAGTGACCAGCTATATCTAGCTTATATCAAAGCTTATGTAACACTGATCCAGCTTTTCAGTTCCACGGATGATAGGGGAAAATTGCGGTGAAAATCCTCTCCTCTATTTTGGCCTCTTATGCTTTTACAGTAGTACTATCCAAATAAAATTTATTTTAAAAATGGTTAATTCACCTCTGTATTCTTGTTTCCTACCATGTCAACATTTTATTTCCATCTTTACCTTAAGGTAAAACAATGTAAGATTTGTAGCATTAAACCTTTTTACTAGCTAACCACAAAAAACAGAGTTAAGTGTTACCTATGTACTTACAAGCAAAAAAATTGAGTGGTTGGTTTTTTTTTTTCTGGCCTAAGGTCATTAAAGATAAAAAACATACCAAACTGTTGGAGGGAGTACACAGCATCCTGCATGTGGATCCAAAATCGGAGTTTTCCAAGAGATATTTTGTCATATGACACTGTAAGAGGTAGCTCTGTTGTGGAACGATTTATAACCTGTATTTCAAAAAGACATAGTTTCATTTTTAATAGCAGAAAATTTGCTATAATTATTTCCATTCAATTTTTTAAAAATAAAGGAAAGTGATTATAACACACTATGATTTAATCACACAATTTTAAGAGGTCAGTTTGTTTTTTGAAAGGGAGTGAGATCTTAGACTTCTATACTATGCTTGAAGTCTGGGGTTTTTTTCCAAGAAATGCTAAATTAGCGGTTTGTTCTGTTAAAGTTCTTATAGCAACCTCACTGTTACTGTATACAAATGCCTCTGAGATGTTCACATGAAGTTCCCTCTGCTGGTCTCAGCTCAAGTGGGAAAAGTGTGCTTAAGGTAATTCTCTCTTTTGACAGTTCTTCTCTGAATGTATATGCTAAGATTACCTAAACTAGACAATTAAAAAAAATAAAAAAATCCTGTCCCAAAGGTCACGGTCAGAACTTTATTAAATTGAGGCTGGTTTTGGGAGAAATTAAAGTTACAACAACACATACCAAAACAAAAGGTGGAGAAGCAAGATAATCCTACTTGCTCAGACTGGTGAAAACACCACAGCTAAAGCTAAGCTAGCTACCCTGCTTGTAGAACTTGGGATATGGGGTGTCACAGAAATCTTCTTCCTGCTCCAAGAGAAATAAATTTCAGCTCATCCTCCTCTATCATCCACACTTTAGTTATGATGAGAACTACCTGGGTCTTAAATTGCCTCAGCTCCTTCTACATGTTAGGTGACTGTCTCTCAAGTAAGCTTAAAACAAAGAAAAAAAAATTGTCCTCACAGATGTTAGAATTCTCTACAGCTACCTAGGGACAAGCTCAGGCAGTATGTTTTGAACTTTTAAGGATAGCTCAAGACTGCAGACAGGCAGGCACTCTGAACTGCAACAGTTCAAGATCTATTGCTCCCGTCTCCTAATTACTAGCCAATCATAATTCCCATCTGAGAATGGCTACTCTACACTGCATCTGTTTCTACAGTAATTAATTAGCTGACACTTATCTGAGATGAATAGGCTTCTTCTGATCCTTATGTAACAGAACACAGTTTTAGCCTCCCCATGTATCAGGCCGGTGTGAACTGGGGATTACGTTCACTCTCCCATTCACT